AGCCGAGGCACAGGGAAGGAGGCGAGGAGCCCACAGAAGCCGAGGCACAGGGAAGGAGGCGAGGAGCCCACAGAAGCCGAGGCACAGGGAAGGAGATGAGGAGTGGCCTGAGGTGGACAAGAAGAATCTGGAAGCTAAGGAAGAGAGTGTTAAGAAATGGCTACATTGTATCCTGCCTCAGAGACCTAGAAAGACAAGGACTGAAAATTCTCCTTTGGATTTGTAAGGAAGAGATCGTTGGAAAAACTGTATGAGAATAGTTAAAAAAAAAAAAAAAAGCCATGTTAAAAAAAGGAGCATATATGAAAACAAAGTTACAGTGCTTAAAACTGGAGCTGATACAAGATAGAACAGTGGACTACAAAATCCAGAAGCAAATTACAAGTATATTAAAAAATTTAGTATGTAGTAATAGTATATATGAAAGCAGAATAGTATATATGAAACCATATCCCCGGAAGGGATAAAAGTAAAACACTGAGATTTTGAACATAAAATCAAGATCTTTGGAGGAGGGAGGGGTTGTGGGTAGGGTTGGCAGGAAGTGTGAAAGTTCAGATTCCTTGTCTAGGGGAGGGCACAGCTCTGAGTACCTCGGATTCCCAGCCTCCTGTGTGCTCAGGAAAAGCTGTCCTCTTTGGGACGTGGCCTGAACCCTGGCGGGGCTCTCTCCTTTCCATGTCCTGTGTTCCCCACTCCATCCTGGTCTCTCCTGAGAGCACTTCCTTCATAAATCGCCTGCATACCAATCCTCATCTCAAGGCCTGCCCCTGGGAACCTGATCCAGGACAGCTCTGAGAAAGGACCATACTTCTTTAATTATGCATATTGGGACACCTGCTTAAATTCAGTGTTTTCCTGGTTTCACTAGTTCCTCAGCATACTCAGGGGAAGGGGTTGGGAAGAGCAGCTTCTTAAACTGCTGAGTTAAGAAAATATATTGATGCTGTTTGAATGACAAAATATATTACAAGAAATGTTTTTATTTTCAACTTGCATTTACTCCATGCCAAGTGCTTTTTCTTGTATTTTCTCATAACCGCTCACTGGACTAGGGCAGGTAGTATTGTAATTCCCGTTTTACTGGTGCGGAAAATAGCGGTCAGAGGGGTAGTGACTTGCCAAAGTTTCACACCTGGAGTTGAAACTCTTCCTCATGTTGACTCCGGTTTTATAGTTTTCCCACCGTACTGGTGGTCTGCAAGAGTTGACGTATATCCTGAAGTGCCCAGTCTCACAGAGGATAGCATGGCTGTTCTGCTGACAGGTCTTTTCACAGGGAAGGGTCGGACCAGGGGGTTCGTGTGACGCATTTGAGTCCTTGATGAGTGGAGCAGTTGGGAGGTCAAGCCAGGTTGAAAGGGAAGGTACAGGTTCAGTTGTGATGATGCTGAATTGGATATGTGAAATTCACACAGGATAGTGTGGGGTGCTTGCTGGGAGGATAGGAGATTAGGATGGAGAGTTTATTTTTTCAGAGAAGAGGAGGATCATATTTTTCTGAGTCTAGAGGGAAAGAATATGCTAGAGAAAATCATCATAGAAATTCATATCAAGTGGGTTTGGTCTTGATGGATTAGAAAGCCAAGTAAATTGTTTGTCTTGGGAGGGGGAATAAGGGTGAGACTGCAGAGTGCTAAAAGGTGACATTTCACTGAGTGCGTACTATGGGCCAGGCACTGTGCTAACCATCTTATGTGAATTATTTAGTTACTTCCTCAGTTTAACCCCTTAAAGGTGATATGGTTATTCCTATTTTGCAGATAGATTAACTTAGGTCTAGAGAGGTTGCAAGATCAGTGAGTGGTGAAACTGAGCTTTGAACTCAGGTCTGTCTGATGCTAGGACTCGTGTGTCAACCTAGTGGTTAACTACCACGGAGAGAGGGGAAAGACTGGAAATTGCTGTCACTTGCTCACAGTGGCTTTTCAACTCTTATTCTTACTTTCTAGGGGGCAGATGATTTCTGCTGAAGATTGTGAATTCATTCAAAGGTTTGAAATGAAAAGAAGTCCTGAAGAGAAGCAAGAGATGCTTCAAACTGAAGGCAGTCAGGTGACTGATATAAACATTATATCGTGAACGTCTCCCTGTGTCATTAAAAATTCTAGAAAAAATTTTTAATGACTGTGATATTCCATTGTAGGTATGCATCAAAATTTAACTAAAAATCCTTTTATATTGGAAGATATTTGAGTGATTTCCAGTTTTCTTTGTTAATTTTGGAAAAAATGTTATATTGAGTGTGTTTATTCCTCCAGCCTTTTCTGCATTTCTGAAAATCTTTTTAGAATAGATTCCTAGAAGGGAAATTACTGTTTGAAAGTATATGGTGTTTTTAAAGTTGCTTAACTTTTTTTATAGAAATTTTTTCCTACTTTGTATTCTCATTAGAATAAGATGCAATTCTGCTGTCCATCAGATTTTCTGCTATGGGGTCCTGATTGGCTGAAAGAGGCCGTATACAACTCAGTCTGATTCTCAACAATCCTGGGAGGTTTGGGAGGAAACATTGTTGGCTCCAACTTTGGTCGAATCCCAGAGTGGCTGTCGCATAGTTGATAAGTTGTGAGATGGAGACAGAGCAAAGCCTTCGGGTTCCAGGCCCCAGTGGTCTCACCCTAGTGTTCTGCTTCCCAGTAAATGCAGGAAAAATATTCAAAGCCAATGATAATTTTTGATTGTCTGCATAACTTAATCTTTATGTTATCATGGGTACTCAAGAGCTGATAGTGGCTAGGTCTATCTATTTAGAATTAGTAAACATTTTGAAATTTATCACTAGAAATGATCAAATATCTGACGCAAGCCATAGTATGGTCCTCCCGTATTTCATCACAATATTTGTAAAAGGTATACATTTTCTGTAATTGAAATCTGTTAGTTAATAGCATTTGTATCCTGATTTATGTAAGAGAAATAATATTTTACTGAAATTCCATTAAAATGTTGTATTTGCAGTTGAAAACAATAATTAACATTAATTTCATTTTTTTCTAGTGTGCTAAAACATTTATAAATCTGATGACTCATATCTCCAAAGAACAGACAGTTCAGTACATACTAACTATGGTTGATGATATGTTGCAGGTAGGTTTATTCTTCACTTAATACATTTGGTGACTTCATCTTTTTGTGTACTGCACAGTAACAACATTTTTGTAAGGTTTCGCTTAATAGTGTTGGTTCTCTTCTAGAGTGTAATAATATATTTTTCTTCATTATGTGAGTTGGAATTTGCTAATGGTGATAAAAATGAGAATGTCCACACAGAGGCTATTTTTGTTGTTTTTCAGTGTGTCAAGTAATCAATATGTATTTTTTTCCACAATACCTCAGAATTCTTTGTTGAGCACCAGCAGTGTTTAGTGAAGCACTTGGGCTTTCTGGATGCCCTGCGTACTGATGGATGACATGGCTCCTCTTTCAGTCGTTCAGCAGATTTCAGTGCCTCCATGTTCCAGGCCAGTGCCAGGCACTGGGGATTCAGTGCTGAATGTAGGCAAGGTGCTTGCCCTCAAAGGTGTTGTCTGTTTGGAGAACGTTTTTCTTATCATCTGAGACTTTTCTACTTGTATAAAGTTTCTATTTACTGTCCCTAAACGCAGAAGGGCCTCCTTTATTCACAATTTTTTATTTTACACCGGAGTGTAATCTAGGTTTAGATTGTTGGTATATACAGCAGTTCTTGTTGAAACAGGCCATCTGGCTGCTATTTACACTGTCTGTCTGCATGTCTCAGGAGACTTGAAGAAAAGTGTCAGTCTGGCTGCTTAGGGGGCGTTGTCGGTTTACAAGGAAAAAGATTTATTGATGGCCTTCTATGTGCCAAACACTGTGCTAATTATTAGTGAGGATACAAAGGTTAGGAAGAATGGTGCTGTCTACTTAGGGGCCATTCATGTCATTTACAGGAATGTAGTGATTTTATAATGTGAGTAAAGATAATATCCAGCCTGGGCTGATGCAGCGTGTCTGAGAATGACCTTGGTCTCTCTCAGTACTTTTTCCTTTAAAAAAGTAAAGGTAAGAAAAATGGAGAATGTTGCAGTTTGCCTTGGTTATCTTGGTAATTATATAGGACTGCACCTAGAAAAAGGAGGCTATGAGTTGGCATGCAGATCTTGGTTTTATTTATATGTCAGCACACACATGCACACAAATATCCTCAATTTTTGTACACATCCATATATCTATAAATTAAAAACCCTGAGTTCACACTCCCTCTACTGTCATTTCATCTCAGCACCACAGAGTTCATTCTGGCCTCCCCTTTCCATATTTGTAACTCTCTTGTGACAGTGAGATTGTGAGCTCCTCTTATCCTCCGTCTATTTACTTGTTTGTTCTACCCTGTGATAGAAAGAAAGTAGTGTCAGAATTGCTGACCCTACAGCCGTGAAAACAAGCCCTTGCCCTGGAGCTCAGTGTTCATTTGCAGCACTTGGTCTTAATCTGAAGGGAGGTGGTCAGAGGATCGTGTTCGTGTTTCTCTCGGAGTGCTTAAGTTATTTTTCTTGAAATACTGTTAGATTCCTTTGTTTTGTATGTATTCTACTTTAGTTTTTTTCTCATCTTTGTTGATTTTTTTTATTATTTTTGATTATGTAAAAGATTAACATGCTTCCAGAAGTCAAAACTATACAGAAAGGTGTACTCAGAGAAATGTCACCAACCCCCACCCCGTCCCTGGTACCCCATTCCCACCTACCTCTTATGGGTAATCAATATCATAGATTTCTGATTTATTATTCCCGTTTTTCATTTTGCAAAAATAGGCAGGTACGTGTGTATTTTCTTATTTCCCCCTCTTTTTTATACGAAATATGTGCTCTGAGAAGAAGGGCTTTATCCATATTCTCTTAAAGGTTTATAAACTGGGTGCCTGGGACAATAATGGCTGGAGGTTTGTTTTTAAGCAGGAATTGAAACCACGAAAGACTAGTTGAGGAAGGTGGGTTTTAAATTTATTTAAAACATATAAAGTGGTTTCTGCTCTTTCTGTATGTAGGGTACTTTGTTCATTTATGGGTACAATGAGAATAACAATTTTAATTTTGGAAATAATCCACTAGTGGAGTTAATGATGACTTACCTGAATTTTGAGTCCTTGGCTAAAGTTATTATCACAACTGCTTCAATTGTTATTCTAAACTATAGTGATTCATTATGTAAGGAGATGGTAGGCTGTTCTTCAAATAGGTAACTGTTAGCATAGACCAAAATTAAAACCAGTGTATTTAAAAAGAATTAAATGTTGACCTGAAAATTAAAATTATTGTTTATGTGGTTGTGCTTTTACCGAATATTGCTTAGCAACCATATTCACTTAGTGAACCAGAAAGTGGATTTCAGCCAGTGATATGCAGAGAAAATTTAGGTGAGAGGTAGAGCTTGCATGATTTGAACTAAGAATTAATTGTTCCTCAAATCCTATATTCACCTGCTAGTGTGATATGCTGTTTTATGCTGTCTTTATCTGCCTTGATTTTTCTATCATATTATGCTAGGAGTAACCTTGAACATTTGAAATTTCTCTAATTTCCTCTTTCCTTTGCCTGCTTGTAAGTAGCTTGAGGTGCTTCCTGCTGATCCTTCCATCCAGAGCTAATGTGTGATCTTTTTGCCCCTCCTGATTTTGTGCACGCTGAGAAGAAGTGTAACTTAGAGTGCTACGTCTTGCAGGGCTGGGGTCTGTTATCTTGGTTCACTTGATTTAAAGCAATCATAATCATTAAAGGTGATTTTATTTTTAAAATATCTCTCCCCGCCCCCATCCCCACGCTCTCTCCCATGGTGATAATAGCAGGGAGACAAATCTCATACACACTGGAAAAAGAAAACACACTGAGTGATGGGACATAAAATGAAAGGTTGAGAAGCAGTGCACAATTGTTACATTTTTTAGGAAAATGCATTCTGATTAGTGATATTTCTTTTTTTTTTTCCCCCCAGGAAAATCACCAGCGTGTTAGCATTTTCTTTGACTATGCTAAACGTAGCAAGAACACTGCCTGGTCCTACTTTCTGCCAATGTTGAATCGCCAGGATCTCTTTACTGTTCATATGGTAAATTTTGAATTGAACAAATTTCTGATTTAGGGAAGAAACACACCTAAGCCATTTATGACTTGATAACCTCCCGTTTCCCAGAGGAGTAACTGCTGTGACCTTAACTTTTCAAAGCAGTGTTTCCTTTTTTGGTGTTTAGTAATATGGAGATATTGAGAAGTCAAAGGAGGTAGGGTTGCTCTGATACAGTTCAGGTTTTGTAGAGTATTTGGTGAGTTCATTAGCATAAAAGCCTTTGGTAAATTCACACTGCAAACAGCTTTAGATTGTCTGTGACAGGAACTAACCACGTTTTACTATAGAAATTAAATATTGCTTTGAAGTCACTACTTTATTTAATTTTTATTTTAATTAAATAATTAATTGCTTTTTAATATCTTAAATACACTCCTGTTTTAGGCTTAGCCTGACAGGCTATCTTTGGAAGCCTTAGCACTGAACAATCTTTTTTGGAGTATGGAGACGGTCTGAGAGGACGGTTGAGACAATAAATCTTTGTGCAAGCCTTTTCTGTTCCCAACGTGGAGTGGGCTGCATGGAGGGAGCTCCTGAGGCTGCTCATTTCAGTAGATGTCTTTAAATTTTTCAAATCAGGAACCACTGTTAGTGAAATATTTTTGAGCATGAGTGTTCTTTCTCTCTCTCCCATATATATCTATATTCATTTATGTACTAGTGTATTCACATATTGTATATATTATAAAACATTTATAAAAAGAGAAATTAAAAAGAGCTCATAAAATAAACTATATTAATGGGAATACTCTTTTAAAAACCAGTAATATATTTTCTTCTTTCAAATAGGAGAGGCTTGTTTTCACTGTCTGAATACATGGTTTAGATATCTTCCTAATTTTGATGGTTTTATAATAAAACTGACAAATATATTAAAGACCAAATATGCATTTAGGGTAAGCCTCCTCGTTATTAATTGTGTAGCCAAATCCATGTTTTAATTTCCTTATGATTTCAGTTACTTTTGGTTAATCTTTCAAATTTTGAGGGTCAGATCGTCATTGGTTTACCATGGCTGATGAAGAGCTTATGCTGGGAGTGGAAACGTCAAGTCTCTTGTTCCTGTGTCTGTTCCAGTTTGCCTGTGCTTACACTGCTGATAGTATTTTCAGTCCCTGGTTTCCTTATAGGAATCCTTTCAAGTCATTTGTCTATCTTGTGGAGGTTAGATCAGTTTAAACTGCATAATGTATCTGTAAACTTACTTAGAAAGGCACAGAAAACGTACACGTCACAACTCAGTGAATGAGTCATGGTGCTTCTCTTAGCCCTCCGTGGTGTAGAATTCCAAATATGCCATGACACTTGGGTGCCTGACATACTGACCTCGAAAGCGTGCCTCTGTCACCTGGCTCAGCTGTATCCAAGTATAAGAACAAACATTGGTCCACCAGCACAGGAATTATTTTGGGGTTAGCTAACCTCAGCCTTCCGTCCTCTACTCGGATTAATTATTGCTGAATAATTGGAGTTTTGAAACACTGACTTGCTTTCAGAAAGTACTGAAAGAATATTTATTAAATTGGGTGTGTATGTGCAGAAGTATTTTATACTGCCTATTTTTTTGTGTGTGTATATATATGTTTCCAGACTTATTAGGTATAATTGACAAATAAAATTCTAAGATATTTAAAGTGTACAATGTGATGATTTGATATATGTATACTTATACTGCCTATTTAATAAAAAAAATTCATGTTAGTTTTATAGCTTGAAGAAAATTGAGAAATCTTTGAATGAGGAGAAAAGGGTATCTATATTGAGAAAGATGGCTATTTAATACCCAAGATATATTTTATACCAAGATACAGATTTTTAAGTGTGAGAACTCACAAGAGGCTTGGAATGAGCGAGGTAGTGGCTGGCAGTTTATTTAGAGATTGCTCAGAACTCTGGCAAGTGAAAGTCTGCCTCTAAGAAAGATTTTTGGATTCTTATGTTTTTTGCTGGTCTTATAGTGAATCCCAATCTTACTTTTGAAACTCAGAATAATACAGGGAATGTCATGAAATTCTTAAAACACAACTAATTTTGGTTCACTTTAATGGAAATATTTAAAAATACATTTTGACTGTATTCAAAATATATCTTTAAAAATGAAATACAAACTATTATTTTTGGAGGAGTTGAGTGTTAAAAAATCGTGTAGTAAAATGGTTACGAGTCTTGGCTTTTAAGGTATGTGATGTGATTTTTGGAATCAATATGGTATTCAGGTGTCTTTCTTATTTTTCAGGCAGCAAGAATTATTGCCAAGTTAGCAGCTTGGGGAAAAGAATTGATGGAAGGCAGTGACTTAAATTACTATTTCAATTGGATAAAAACTCAGCTGAGTTCACAGGTAAAAGACATTTCTTTTAGTATCTTTGAAAGGAGTATAACAGCCATGTTCTCTTAAGCTATTTATGGTAATTATGTGAAATTAGAAAAAAAGTTATATTAAAGTAATGCCATTTTGAACTTGATAAGTAACCAGACTACTCTTACTATGCTTCACTTTTTCTCTCTTTGGCTGGCTTCGACTCAAACCTTTCTGTCTTTCTGCCACTTGGGATTTTCCAATCATGCTTTTCAGTGGGCAGGGAGTGTCTTCCTTCCAGGTGGCTGCCAAGATCACACAGGTTGGAGAACTGAAAGGAACCACACCGCTCCAAAGAGCAGACTCACATAGGCCTTGTGAGAAAGGAACAGGAACAGTGCAGCAGGTTAGAGAGTGCAGGCAAGGTTCAGAGCTCAGAGACTTCCCAGTGCAGCTCCCACGTCTGCCTTGGCACTCTGAACCACCAAGATTTGTGCAAGAAATTTTGGTTTTGGGAGCTCCAGAAGTTTCTAGTGGGATCTTTTATGCCCTTCTGGTCACATAACCAAACTAAGCTGTCTAACCACTTACACCAGTAAACATATTGGCTCTGGGTGCCCTCAGAGGAGTTTCAAACTGCAAACAGCACATTATAGATCATTAGTCAAGCCGCTTATCCTAATTGTGGCCAACAGTCTGTACCAGGCTTCTAGGCGCACCTGGATAGGCCTGGAGCTGTGAGTCCAGCTGTGAGGTGACTGTCATGTAGTGGCTCCTTAGGATTTCACTGTATCATTGTGGGATTGAACATTTAGGCTTAAGGTTAAATATGAAGCCTGCTTAATAGTTGTCTCGGTCACTTTCAGGCCTCTCTAGCTCTACTTCTCCATGAAGGAAAAGAGCTTGCTGGTTTAATGGTTGGAAAGATGGCAAGTTTTCTGTTTTTGTCTTCATCGTTCCCTAGAACATGGCAAAAGACAGGACACTTCTGATGGTTCAGTGGAGTGTTTCTTTCTTTTAGGCTTCCAGTGACTAAGTATTAGGTTAAGGGGGAGACTTGGTGGGAATGATCTTCGGAAAAGGAGTGAAATGAAGGTGCGTGGGGGAGGAGCATTCTGGGGAAGAAAAGGTAGAAGAGAATGAGATTTTGTTGTGGGGATGGGTGACATGGAGGAATGAGACCAGGAGAAGTAATATTGGTAGTTACTGTGTTATCAGTGTTAGCTTACAAATAAATGTCTGCTTGAAATACATTTTTGGAAAGTTGTAATTTAGATTTCAGATGACTTTATTATGTTAGTAGATTTTAATTTGAAGCATAAGAGAGGCACCATGACATTTTACTTAGATTTATTTTTTGTCTTATCATTGCCTGCCTTTGTGGGGGGGAGTCTAAATTGCCTTTTATATTTGGATAAGAATATTTTAGTGTGTCTGGAACAAAATTTAAGTATTTTTTATGTCAATAGCATAAATTTTAACACTTTTTGGCTTAGTTTTTAAAAGTATTTTTACTAGAGCCACAAATTTGCATATTTTACTGTTTGTGAGGTATTTAAAAAAAATATTTAGAACATGAAAAATAGGTGGGTGAAGATGAGATTTTAAATTTCTAAATGTATACCATTTGGGATCAGATGCTTAGTTAAATAGGTAACATCCCCTTTTGTTTTCTGTTTTGAAATGAGTTCTTCCTTGGTTCTGCTTTAGCGTTAGCTTTGTGGTATAGTGGTAATGAGGCTTTATTGTAGCTGGCTTCATATAATGAAAATTGGTAGGAAAGATAGTGTACCTTTAGTTTGCCACTAACATTTTGGGTTGTTCCATGTTAAACTTTTCCTCATAGGAGTAACTTTTATGTTGTACCTCACAGGTGATTTGTTGCTTTTGGAGTGATTGACTATGGTTGTAACCTCGTCCAGCAATTGGGGGAAATATTTCTGTCATCAGTAGTGGAAGCAAATATTTCAGGGTCTAGAACAGTTTTCATTAGAATTGAGCTTCTTGGTATTAGACAAATGCTCTTAAAGACCTTTTCTATATCTTTCTAGTGCACTTTTGGATCACTGAGTCTTTGGCTTTGTTTAGTTATGGTATGGCATTTCTGCTTCACAAGGCCTTCTGCCACAGAATTTCTCTTCTAAGGCAGTCTGGCTTTGCTTCTGAGTCTGCTCACTGCTTCTGCTAGGCTCTGGATTGCACTATCTGTCTAGCTGTGGGCAGATGCTTCTTCCACAGCCTTCTATCAGGATTAAAATTACAGACTTCTTGTTAAAGAATGAAACCTAGGATTATTTGGGATTTTATTTGCTACTTTGCTTAAATGTCATGTGGTAGCACTATATCTGGAAGGTCTCCTTTTCTCTGTCATAAGGGTTTCTCTCTCAGAAAAAGGACCACAGTTTCATGATCCTAATAGAAATAAACTTTCAAAAGTCCAAATTAGTTGCAAGTTTGAATATTTTGTTCTTTGACTTAGAGTGACATTTAGGAGCCTTTTTTGATAGTTAAAGCATTGTACTTGGGTTATGGGGCTCGTGCCTGACACTTAGTAGATAATAGTTATTGAAAAAACAAAATAAAAATTTCCTTTCAGAAATTCATAATCGCTTTTGCGTATTCAGCCTCTGACTTTCTACCTTAAATTTTCTTTGGTCATTTCTATATAACGTGAGGTTTTGATTGTCGTTATAACTTGTTAGCATTGTTGTGGATAACCAGATTTTAAGTTCCATGTAGTATCTTCCCATCATCAGGCACCTATTTCGAAAGCTTTGGTGCAGAACATAGTGTAGATAGTTCAGCTTAAGACGGTCATCTTACTGGAGAAATAATGCAGTAAGTAAATCCTGAGACTCGGATGTTTGCACCAGCTTCACTTATGAAATTTAGCTGGAGCTTAGTATTCAGTTTATTATTGTTCCATTTTAAATAATTTATTAAGGTAATATCTGGGAGAGTGTAATGATATTTAGAATATTTCATATCATCCCTATGCTTTTTATTAGTTGATGATATTCCATTAAGTAGGATTAGGAAGAAAATTATAAAATTTGCTTAGCTCCCTTTCATACACTGATAAATTAGGATAAAGTTAAAAACAAAACTAAGTAATAAGTTATTTATTTTGTAATAGAAACTACGTGGTAGCGGTGTCGCTGTTGAAACAGGAACAGTCTCTTCAACTGATGTAAGTACATTCCTTCTTAATTCACTGGCCTCCTAACACCCTGCATATGTTATTTTGAGTAATAGACATTTAAAATTTTGAAGATGCTTACTGGTTCCCCAAGTGTAAATCCATGGGTTTGATATCACCTCCAGTGAGGTTAACGGTCTTGTATAAACTATTTATGAATCATTATGGTCTGTACTGATCACTTTTTCTGTTGGCGGATATGAGCCTTACTCTTCCCTGTTGCTCTTCTTTTCAGGCCACTTGATCTCAGACCTGAGAATCAAAGCAAGAGTCTGAATTTAGGTGTACAACTGGAGCAAATGATCATAAAGTTGCTCTCTGAGCTTCAGTTGCCTGATAAACTGTCTAACAGATACGCAAACACTGTGTCAGGCGGTTGAAAACAGTTTAGTTACTTGATGGCACTAAAACTCATTGCTTGCGCTGTGTTGCTCAAGGCTTTATATGGGGCTACGTAGTGGCCAGAAACCACACCCCCCCACCCCTTTTTGGTCAGTTTCTCACCACGTTTTTGTAGAGCTAAAAGGTTAAAGGTTAAAACTAATCATGTCGCTCCAGGTTTCTTGCTTAGAGTTATCTTGCCCATTTGGGAATGGTTTAACTTTGTTAAATAGCTCAAGAACTGGCAGTAAGTTTAGACAAGTAAGGGTTGGCATGATTGAAGCCAGTGGAGAGAAAGATAGGGGGAAAAAAAGAAATGTGGGTGAGGTGCATCTAGCTTCATTTATTGGAAATATCTCTGGGAAACTGGAAAGCATATTTAGAGGATAATGTCTACAACCTGCCTATAAAAGACCTAAATGAAGCTCTGTAGAAGCCATTCAGTGTCCATATTAGTTACTGATACTTCTGTAATCTGTGTGGAACATACCTGTATGTATGCTCTGAGACTAGATGGCAGGAGAGGTCATTTTCAAAGCCAAGAGGGGGGCTTCTCTTGGGGCATGGGTTGAACGACTTGACAAACAGTGTGTTAGGCCAGAAAATAGCCATTGGCCTTCTGAAATGGAATCAGAACAAGGTGTAGAACTACATGAGCAGTCTTGGGACCGGGTAGGGGAAGGAGGTGGTGGGTTAGGGGTCTAGATATTCAGCCATAAGCAGATGTTTAAATTGGGAATCTTTATTTTATATGACTTGAATTTCTACCAGTTTGAAATTTTGAAACATTGTTTAGTTCATATATTAGACTTATTGGTAGATTTTTTAAAAGGTACTTTCAGACTCATATGTCTTATAAACTTAGTTAAGTGGTTGTTTATTAAAGCTTACATAATGAGGTGCAAGCTCTGGTGATATGACATTCTTATTCTGCCCTTTTCTGTCCAGTGTATTGGAAAAACAAAACTGATTAATTAAATTGGCAGTGTGTTAGTCCAAGTGGTTTATCTGGTAGACTCATACACACACATTCAAAACAGAATGAGCATCAGGGGTAATTGTGAGTGACAGAAGGATGACCTTTGATTTCCAGTCTTATTCCCTTTAATGCTCTTGAAACCTGAACGTACTCTCTGTCTCTTCCTGAAGGTTCTTACTTTTTCAGATGGCTGACAACTTGGAAAGCAGACTTCAGTAAGTTGAGAGTAGGATTGTTAGCCTTTCCTCTGACACTTGTATTTTAATAGGGGAATCTGAATTGGTGACTCATATTTATTGAGCACTTACCCTGTGCCTGGCACTGTTTTACTCATTTTACATTTATATCTGCTTGAATATTCACATTCCCTCTTTGACGTTGGTCCTACTATAAGCCTTGTTTTAGCAATAAGAGCAGTGAGGCTGAGCAGAAAGGCACGCCAGCTTGCCTGAGGTCATACAGCTAATGAGTGGCAAAAACCTCAAAGAAACGAGTTGCTTACTAAGAGAATTACTTTTGAGGCAGCTAAACTGGAATGGAATCTTTAGGCATTCCCCAAGTGCATAGCCTACTCAGACTTTTAAAAATACTGATATTATATCTTAAAATCCCTTTAGGTTTGCAGAGAGCTTAGAAAAGCAGTTTGGTAAACTGCGTTACATGGTATTGCCACTTGATGTCAGTATAAAACAAAAGTTTTACACTGCAAAATGAGAAATAAACATGATCCAACAGTCTTAACTTTTAAAATGGCCATGGGAACATCAAAATAAGTTACGAGTGGATCATTACAAACATTTTTATTTAAATGACATTACACAAATGGAATTTCCTTAAAATGCATTGTGTTGTCTTTGCCTAAATGTGAAAATAATAAACGACATCAAATTATATATACTTATCTTAAACTGTCTGTTCATTTCTTTATTGGCTCTTGAATGTGAATTATCAATCTTCTGTTCTTCTGAGGAAGCCACACTGCCTTGGAAGTTGATTTTTGTGCTGATGCCCTGACAAAAACGAATACTGTGATCTCTCACAAACTTTGGAGGATTTAGAAAAAATCTGGGAATTTTTTGTTTGTTTCTTTGTTTTCTTTTTCCTCTGCCCAGCTTCATTTATACATGTGTGTAGGGGAACAAGGTGACTCCTAGCTCCTGCATTTGACTGTGGCCTGTTCTCTGGTTATTTTTGTTGTAGATCCAGTCTAGCGTTAGTTATTGCTAGATGAACATTGTTACACTGACAATAAGTAACTTGATTAAGTTGCTAGGCTCTCCTATTGCTTATTTTATCTTGCCTTTTAATGTTCTGGAGCGGTTCTGTCCAGTGGAGCTTTCCATGATGATGGAAATGTTCTGTATTTCTGCACTGTCCATTATGGTGTCCACTAGCCACATGTGGCTTTTGAGCACTTGAAAGTGTGGCAAGTGCAAGTGAGGAAGTAAATTTTCAATTTTTTTTTAAAGCTTTATCAAAATACATTTCACATATCATAAAATCCATCCATTTGCAGTTCAGTAGATTTTAGTATATTTACAGAGCTGCAACCATTACCATAATCTAATTTCATAACATTTTTAACACCTCAAAAAGAAACCCTCTACACATTAACAGTCATTCCCCATCCCTGCTCCCTGTTCCCAGCCTCTGGCAACCACTAATCTACTTTCTGTCTCTGGATTTGCCTCTTATGGCCGTTTTGTGTGAATGAATCATATAATACATACTTATCTATGACTGGCTTCTTTCACTTAGCGTAATGTTTTCAGGATTCATCCATGTTTTAGCAGTTTAGAATGAAAGGAAAAAACTTAACTTTTTTTTGGCTTTTTGTCAAATTCCGTAAATTATTTTCTGTGGCGGTTCTAATATCCTTGTTAATATGAGGTTAGTTTTACTGCTTTGGCTTTGTTTTTAATTTAGTGCTGTGGTTATGTGGCACTTTTCAGTCTTCTAGAAGAGGTGGAGTACTTTAATGATTTAGTGCTTTACTACTTTGCCGATAAGTACATCAAAAGTGCTGCTCAAGTAGCAGAAATGACTGGGCTGAGTCAGTAATTTATATAGTTCAGGCCTGCTATTTAAATGTAGTCTGCTGTAGCTGCTGAGTTGGAAAGTCTGTGAGGACCCAAAGTAATTCAGTCAATTACGTGTCTTTGTGCAAGTTTCAAGAGCATTGTTATTTACCTGAAGCAATTCTTGGATGATTTTCATTCTTCAATTGCCTTTTATCTTTTTATCACAAAATTAATACATTTTAAACATTGGGGATCATTAAAAAAATATATGCACAGAATGAGTATTAAGAGAAGGAGGAAAGATAAGAATCTATGAGTTTTGTTTTTCCCATGAGATTTTTGGAAGGATTGCCTGAAGGTATATTCTGGCAATGCAAAGGAAAATTAAATGATAAGAAATTTCAGTACAAGACTTTCTTTTACATATCATTTTCAAAGGATAGCACTGATAACAATAATAAGGTAACCTAATATTATGCATTAGATGTGTTCTTGGAAGTTGTATACAAAGCAATAATTTATAAACTAAATCTTATTTTCTCAAGTCCGCAATAATGTTCCTCTGTAATAAAGACTCCCAGTAGTCATGTAATTGAATTATATGACTAAGCAAATTAGATTGAAAGGAATACTGGAAGGAGATTTATAAATTTGTAAATTAATAGTAAAATTACTTTTTTGGTAAGACTTCAGTCTAAGACTAAATTATCTTAGGTTAATTTAGGTATTAATTTAATCTAGGTATTTTTATGAGTATTGACTAGAGGATCTCTTTTAATAAGCCCACTTCAAGAGAGTTCTTGGGCCATATTTATTTCAGTTCCTGAAAATGAGATAATAATAATAGTAATAGTATACCTTACAATTGTTTATGCTTTATGATTGGAGTTTAGAGTACCGTTTTTTTTTTTTTTTCTTTTTTAATGTGGTGGGGCTGGTATTTTCCTTTATTGATGAGAAAGTTTTGAAGAGTTTAAGTGATTTGCCAAAGATAATTTGGCAAAACTTCTGATTGGAAAAACCTCTCTCCTTCCTTTCCTCCTTTTCTTTCTTCAGTCTTTTTTTTCTTTTTATGTCATAACTTACATAAAGTAAAATGCACAGATTTTAAATGTTCAGCTGAATGAATTTGTGGTCATGTGTCCTCCTACTCAGTACTTTCCTTCACCTCACCTTCCACCATTAATGACATCTATTACCAAAGACTAGTTTTGCCTGATCTTGAACTCCAGGTAAGTGGAATCATATACAGTATGAACTCTTTTGTGTCTGAATTCTCTTGCACAGTATTGTCAATGAGATTCATTCATATCGCATTTAGCAGTAGTTCATTCTTTTTATTGCTATGTAGTAATCTATTAAATGAATTTTATCCATTCTCTTATTGGTGGATATTTGGGTTACTTGTAGTTTTTGGCTATTGTGAATAATCTTGCTGTGAACATTTTTGTACATGTCTTTTGCTAGATGTAATCCGTTATGTCCGGAGCACTTAATTCTAGAATGGAATTGCTGGGTTATAGGGTATATGTAAATTTAGTTTTATTAGATATTGCCAGTCAGTTTTCTAATCCAATTTATATATCCATCAGTAAAGTATGACAATTCCAGTTGTTCCAGTTCTCTAATGATAACTTGATATCGTCCTGTTATTTTTAAAGTGAACGTCTATGATAGAAGCAAAAATCACACATACATGCGTGCACACTCACTTTTTAGTTCTACAAGAAAAGATTCATCTGATAATCATGGAACTTTAAATGCTTTTGGGACTACTAATCACCAGTCCTCCATTTCATGTAAAACTGGCTTCTGGAATTTATTTTAGTCAATTATGTATTTGAAAAGCTCAACTTTGTGCTTCCCTGATACTTGTGTACTGTGCATTTTCACTGGCCATGGGACAGATGCTTTTAATTGCAGTGCAAACTTGTTTTTTCAAGTGCCCATGATTCCAAAATTTAGGTGAATATTCTTTACTCTTTCTCATTTAGTTTGTACTTAAATTCCAGCATTATGGAGATAAATATTGAAAATTTGTCTGTAAACATTTTTATAACATTAGTTTTACTTTGGTGCAATATCACTGACTTATTATGCTTATCGTTTGTTGTCGACTTTATAATTCCTCAGTTCTTGAATTACTTGGTAATTCTGCAGAATATGGATCTCTGAGACCATATTCACCAGGAAAGTGAATTCTATCCATTGCTATTTTCCCTGTGATCTGATTATTCCACCATAATGTTGGAGAGTTTGCATTTTCAGCAACATTGGAAAATTTATCTAAATGATATTCTCTTAAATGTGTTGAGACATAAAGATAGTTGTCCTCTACCATTGAGGTTTGTTGCAGTGAGAGTTCGTGTTGTGGCTGATTCTCAGCCCAGGATGTCTGGGGGCACACAAAGACTCGAGCTCAGCATGAAGAGAGTGGACTCCCGGTGCCTATCCAAGATGAGCTCACTATTTTAATTTCAACAAATTATATCACCTTTTTAAGCCTTGGGTTCCTCATCTAAAAGATCCATTTTTATTATTGAAAAAATAGAAAAACTTTACATCAAAGAAGAACTACGGTTAAATGACATTTAAACGAGTAGTATTCAGGAAACAATACAATGAGTATCTAAAACATTTTTTTGTGTGTATAGATTTTTGTTGTCAGTCCAAATATAGGTAGTTTTTTGTCATTAGATAAATAAATTTAGCAATTTAAATGGAAACTATTATCTGACTAAATGAGTTCTTTTACCATGAATATTTTCTAGTAAAATAGGATGACATAAGGTGCAGCCAAAATTGATTAGCAATTTGTATTAGTTCTCAAATTGAGATGACTTAAATTTAAAACAAATGCTAGACAGTTATGTAAGATCCATAATTACCAAACAGATTTAGTTTTGGCTTCAAAAAGAAATAAGATAATAGTGCTATGTTGTATATATGTCTGCAGTATTGAGTATTATTAGTATAAAAATTTTGGTCAAACTTTTAATTATTGAACCATATCTATTGGAGCCTCATTCATTTGGAATTAGTGTAAGATATGAAGTTTGTTTGTATTTCCTTTTTGTTCATTCATTGAAGAAATATTTACTGAGTGCCTACTAGCTACAGTGCCTGGTGCTGAAAGCGTTACACTGACCAAGGTCGGCAGGACTCCTGCCCACACAGGGCTGCATTGTGTTGGGGGAGGACAGCGTTACCACAAGTTATTACACACTTCCATTATCTTAGTAGACTTTTGGCAACGCTTGTAAGAGAGAAGCACAGGTCCTCTGCGAGTATACAAGGGGAGGGTCTCATCTGGGGTCAAGTTTGTTCAGGCTTTCCTGAGGAAGCGGAGGGATGTGGCCTGTGCCTCAGGTAGAGGGAAGTGTGTGTGGAGAACCAGGGCAGAGGCAGGAATGCAGGCATGGGGAGAGTGGAGAGATGAGATGAGCAGGCCCAGAGCATGCAGGGCCTTTGAGATCACTTAGGATTTAAAAATTCTTGTTGGCCCTGGGAAGTCATTGAAGACTATTGGGAGGGGGAGTCACGTGGCAGAGAGCAGCCGTGGGAAAGAGAGTAGTATTTGCAGGTGCAGGGCACCTTATTGTGTATTTTGGAATGATCTGATCTGTTAAATCGATCTGCCGTCCTGCAGCACAAGCACTTGCCCCTCCATTGCCGCATGGCTTACTTGTTTCCTTCCTCAGGGTTTTGTCAGTTGTCACCTTAGCAGTGAGGCCCTCCCCAAAGATCCTATTTGATAGAGCACCTATGTCTCCCTCTCTGCATTTCCTATTTCCCTTTCTTAAGTTATTTTTACAGCATTGAACTTGTCAGACTCTGGTATACTCTATAATTTACTTGCTTTGTGTATGCTTTTCCTCTTCTTCCATTAGACTAAGCTCCCTGATAGTAGGGACTGAGCTCTGTTTTGTTCATGATTGTATGCTCACGGCAAGAACCGTGTCTGGCACATAGTAGGCGCTCAATAAATATTTGTTGATGATATTGAGTCCAGATTTGTATAACCTTTTTGGGGAATAGTTGAGAGCTGAGAATAGTTTCTGACAGTGCAGGCAGTTTAAGGTGCTAGCTGTCAAGCAGTTCCCTGTACTGCAAGGACAAACGAGCTTCTTCCTCTTTGGTTGGACTCTAAGTACCCCAGGTTTGAAAATAAAGTGGAGTCTCTTTTGCATACCAGATAATATGACCAACCTAATAAATGTTGTTGAATTAAGGAATAATTCTTAAAAGTTGAGAGCACCATGGATTTAAAATCTTTATTTAAATTAAGTTGTTGAAAATGCAGTAGATCTCTATGTATAAGATTTATTAAATTAAAAAAAGTTACGAATGAAAGTTATAGTATAATCTTATTTGTATTTTTTTTAAAAAGACATATAATGCATAGAAAATCTCTGCAATGTTAACACAGAAATCTACTAATAGTGGTTGTGCCTTAGGAGTGGTACTGAGGGGTGATGAGAAGGACTTCGTTTTATGCTGTTCTGTGCTGATTGGATATTTTATCATAAATATGTCCAAAGCATCTCACGTAAAATTCAGATTATTATCTGCTGACTTAGTTGGAAAAATATGCATTTTTTTCCCATTATGGAAGATTGTTTTAGAGCTGGAAATTCACTATTTTTTTGTCATTAATTTCTGCCAATGTTTTGAGTTTTCAGGTAAATTATGTTACTGGATATATTGTGCTTTTGGGCAACTATGTTCACTACTTTCTAGGTAAAATATAGGATAACCTTTTCTTGATAACTTTTGATTATTCCACCAGATGTACGTGTATCATGGTGTTTTGTATTTGAGTGCCTGGAATTTCTTCGAAGTGTTAGGTTTTAAGAAATTTTGTTTGAATTAAAATGTAGAGCTTAGTAGCATCGTGTATATTAGGTGTTATGAATTTATATTACATCCATGATTCTCTTCTTTTTTTCTTTCTTTCTTTTTTTATTTGCATGTTCTTTAAGGCTACAGTCTGAAATTTCCTCTTGTCTTTCCATTTCTTATAGATGTAAGGCTCATGGTAAATATTTAGAGAAGAGCCCAGGCCAGGTGTTGCTACTAGCTTTGCTAAAGTTGAGGAGCCTGCAACCTCCTTGGGATATTATTCCTGCTTATTTCAAGTTTCAGATTTAACCACAGTTTCCCTAAGACAGTGCTATTGAACTGATATTTTTTAAAAATCACAGTCTTTTTCAAGTGTTTAATTAGAACTTTTTATACGCTGTGTAGTTTTCTTTTAAGTTCCCATTTATTGAGTTAGCAAAATGTCTAGCTGTATGCTAAACGAGTTATTTCACTTAATCCTAACAGTATCGCTTCAGGGTGCTTGGGGGTGTTATTCTCATTAAGGACAAAGAAATTGAGTATTGGAAAGGTTCACTAACTTCCCCAAGATCATTCAAATATAGGCCTGTCTCAAAGCATACGCTTTTCTCTTTTTAATTTTATTGTTCTTCTTTGATATTTCTATAATTCTGAAGAGAAGTATTCTCTCTATGTAATTACTTTGTTCCTTGATTTCCCTATGTGTGTTAAGTAGTCTTGAACTGTGTAGGTTTAATTTGGCAGAGAAAATCAGCTTCATTTCTAAGAGAGAGGAAAGAAAAAAATGAGGATTGACTTTCGAAAAAATATTAAGGACCTTTGGATGTTCTGATGATAAGAAACTCCAGTGCAAAAAATCCAGACTCTTCTTATACGCGCGATGTCATGACTTCCAGCGATTTCCACCTTTAAAACCTGTGCTGCTTCTCGCGTAGAGCTCCCAGTATGTGCAGTGTGTTGCTGGGTGTCTGCAGCTGATGCTTCGGGTCAACGAGTACCGCTTCGCCTGGGTGGAAGCAGATGGGGTGAACTGGTGAGTACCCTTTTACTTTAATGTGGAAAACATTTAAACGTATCTCTCCTTGACATTTTCAGAGAAATTAATACATTTAATTATCTAAAAGAAGTATGTTTTTTGATGTCTCACAGTGGATCGTGCTGACCTTCATAGGAGTCAATAACTACCAAATGGAATGTTTCCCCCTTCCCTGGCTTCGTCTGTGCTATTATATAGAGTTTAAGAACCCCTAAAAACGTAATGCTTGACAGAATAAATTCCACATACTCAGAATAGAAAAACAATTATAAAAATATCTTGTAGTAAATGCAGGCAAAATCAACAAGAAAAGGTCTTATCCGGAAAAGAGTGAATATAAACCATTCTTTGTAATGCTATAAAATTAGCCCCTTCTTTGTGGGGTCCTAATTTACTGGTCCAGAAAATTTCAGGATCTATCTTCTCAGGTTTAACAAACATATTTATACAGACAACCCCCCAAACCCCAAAACAAACAAACGAAATCCTCTTTTATTACCAGAAAGCCAATTTATTTATTCATAATGAGAGATCTCAGTGTCTTTAAACCAAATACTCTTTTCGGTTAATGAAGACATTGTTTCTTTGTTGGAAAATCTATTCAGGAAGCTGCTTTGTCCACAGAAGGTTGCTTGGTGAGCAAGGCTTCAGAGCAAGAAGAGTTGGTTAAACGATCTTGATGCTGTGTCATCAGATCCTAGTAGGCTGATGCATCCATCTCCAGAGTAGGGATATTCCTACCAAAGGGACGAAATATCCTAGATCTTCTCAGCTAGTATTTGTGTGCAGTTTCTTAGGGTGGGTTACTTCTGCAAATGGGAGTTCTTATGAATTGGATTTGAACTGTCATGAATTACTCAATAACCCATCGACTCAATAAATTAGTAATCTTAATATGCAAAATTTCAATCTATTTATACTTATTTAACTCTCAGTATGTTAGGAAGAATAGTCTTTACAATTTGCTATCTGGACCCTTTGTAAAATATATATTTAGTCATTTTATGAATAATTAATAGAATTAAGAATAAAGAGATGGTGAAAAACAACCATTAGAAATTTTAATAAGAATTTTTACATAGCAGACCTTTTTGTAATAAGTGAATTTTGGTGCACAAGCAACGTAAAAGATGAAAGAAAACCATCACATGTCCTTTTAGCAAAATGGAATGGTCCACGTTTTTGTTGCAAAATATTGTGTTGAAGTCTTGCATGTGGAATGGCTAAGTAGCTGAGAACACTGTATTTCCTTTTTGTCCTTAGAAATATATTGCTCACTCATTGATTCTTGAGTTTCAGAAAATGCGTTTATGATATAGTCATCTGAAAACGCACAGTTTGAGATTTCACGTGTTACCAATTTTACCCTCATTGTTACAGAATAGAATGCTGTCTGTCTCTTTGCTTTCAATTTCTTTGATTCATTTAGTAATTGTGAAACACCTTCAGATAATTGCCATTATGGGTAGAAAATAAAAAGTTCTGAATTCTCAGCTGTGTTCACACTGTGCTGGGAGACTCAGCAGAAGGACTCGGGGCTCAGCATGTAGTTGTTCTCAGGCTGAGGTTGATTACAGAGACATAGGAGGGATACACAGCTGGATCAAGAGGAACAACCACAAAGGCTGAGCCTGGAGGAATCCACGTGAGGCTTCTTTACGCTCTCTCCCTCCCATGAGGGGGTCACACAGCACACTCTTCCCCCAGCAATGAAAATGCAGCAACATTTGTATGAGGTTTCTGCCCAGGAAACCCACTAGAGACTCGGCACCCACAGTTTTTATTGGAGGTTTATAAGGTAGGCACCCTCTGCCTAGCATGTGGCAAAATTTGACTCCAGATGGAACGCAGGTTTTCAGCATAAACATAAGCATATTGTTTGTGCAGACAGTTTAGGTACAGTGAGCCATCCATATCATTTAGGAAAAGCTTTGTTTCAGTTTAGGGAACTGTTTACTGGTCAAGCTCCCGGAAGCCAGCCAGGGGCCAGCTTTGCAAACAGACCTGTCAAAGGATAGCAGTCACAGGACTATGATGTTAACTCGCTTCTGCCCGGAAACCAAAAGGTAGACTACAAAGATGGTGTTTCTGGTCTTTTTACCTTCTTAAAAAATGATGCAATATTTTGGGCAATACAATAACAAAAAATAATTATTTCACTATTACGTCATGTTCCTAGTAGATTCCATTATTCTCTAATTTTCTTGTCATTTTAGTCTCTAATTTTTTTTTAGCATAGTTGGGAATAATGAATGAATAATGATGGGATAATATGTAGGATGATGAAATAGTGTAATTCTTCAAATTATAGGTAACGTAAAATCACTAAGATCCCATAAAATATCTTAGGTTCATAAATGGGTCCAATAGACCTGTATGGTAATTGCAAAATAAATTGTATTTTATTCTATTAAACAAAAGATTTTTTTTTTGTTCTTTGGAAAACCTGTAAGAGAGAATAAAAGTCATGAAACAGCAATTTTTACAAATGGTTATAGTTGCTCAAAAAATAAACTCAAATACTAAAATTTGGCCCAGCAGACCCTAATGGTATACCGAGGCTAGCCACATGCTACTGTTCTAGTTACTGGCACTTAGTATTTGGGAGGACAGTAAGCAATATTAACTATTCAATTTAGCAACAAGAGCAAGGATAAATGCAATCTAGAATATTCCATGTTTAGTGTATACATTTTAATGTGCTAATGATCACTAATGAGATTAGCAGTAATCAGATAAAGAGACCTTTAGATTGAGACTAGACATTAATAAAGGTATAATATGTTAACTTGCCATAGTATGGCAATTTAGAAAAGTCATTTAATCTTTTCATTTTTTAAAAAATAAAACATGTACTTTCTATATTTCCATTTCTTTTGTTTAGGATTGGAAGTTTTCTTTCTTTCTTTTTTTTTGTTTTTTTCCTTTTTGGTACTCCTTAAATCAGAAGCAAGAATCATGCGGGGAGAAGAAACTTTCAAGCATAGCCTATTTGAAGAGAGTAGAAGAGAACTGATGTTTTTAAAACCCCAGTATATATTTTTTTTTCTTCCCCAAACCCCAGTACATAGTTGTGTATCATAGTTGTAGATTTGTAGCTCTTCTATATGGGACACCGCCTCAACATGGCTTGATGAGCGGTGAATAGGTCTGTGCCCAGGATCCGAAGCAGCGAACCCCGGGCCGCAGAAGCAGAACTCTCGAATGTAACCACCACGCCACTGGGCCGGCCCCTTTAAAACCCCAGTACATTTTTATCTATATGGTTTTCTTTCTTTTTTGGTTAAAAAATCTGTTACATGAATGGCACAACACTATTTTTGAATGTTTATACACCTTTATAAGACCAAAAATATACTTTACACTGTCTTGCTTATTGTTGACTTCACTAGAAAGTCTGAAGGTTACCCTTGGTTTTTTAAATACTGGAACTAGAAAGGGGCTTTTGCTGGAATAACTGCCTCCTCAAATTCACCTGGTGTTTATGAACATTTATACCCCCATATTTAAAGTATTTTGAAAGTATAAAGTAGTATATAAGTGAACAGTTAAGTATTTTTTTTTAACATCACAATATTACAGGGGCCGGCCCAGTGGCACAGTCATTAAGTGTGCGCCCTGCGCTTCAGTGGCCCGGGGTTCAAAGGTTCAGATCCCGGGCGTGCACTGATGCACTGCTTGTCAAGCCGTGCTGTGGCGGCGTCCCATATAAAGTAGAGGAAGACGGGCATGGATGTTAGCCCAGGGCCAATCTTCCTCAGCAAAAAAGAGGAGGATTGGCATTGGATGTTAGCTCAAGGCTGATCTTCCTCACAAAAAAACAACAACAAAAAAACATTACATTATCGGGTGACGTTGCATGATGAGGTACGAGGTGCTCATGAGTTTCAAGAGCAGGAGCTAACTAAAAGTGTACAAGTCAACCAGAAAACAGCCAGCTCTTTTGTCTCCCTACTCTCTTCACTGGCTTGATTTTTTAAAAAAAAACCTTAATTACAAAACAAAACAGAACACTAAATAGTTACTTACCCGAGGGGAATACATTCCAAGACCCCCAGTGGATACCTAAAACCGAAGATAGTACCAGACTCTATATATAGTATGTTTTTTCCTGCATATATACCTATGATAAAGTTTAATTTATAAATTAGGCACAGTAAAAGATTAACAATAATAACTAATAATAAAATAGAACAATTACAACAATATTCTATAATGAAAGTTATCATAGATCTTAGCAACTTCAGTATACGATTTTTTATTAAGTGGAGAACTTTCGCCTTTCACTTAAAGAAAGCACTTGATGGCTTCTCTTTGGCGTATCCGAATTGCTAGCATCACTACTCTTGCACTTTGGGGCCATTATTAGGTAAAGTAACGGTTACTTGAACACAGGCACTGAGATACCAACAGTCAATCTGATAACCTAGACTGCTACTCAGTGACTAATGGGTGGGGAGTGTATACAACGTAGATCCTCTGGACGAAGGGATCAGTCACCTCCCGGGTGGGACGGAGCAGGATGGCATGAGATTTCATCACACTACTCAGAACGGTGCACAATTTAAAGCTTTTGAATTGTTTGTTTCTGGAATTTTCCATTTAATATTTTTGGACTGCAATTAACCATGGCTAACTGAAACTGGAAAGCAAAACCATGGGTAAGGGAGGGACTACTGTGTTTTGGCCTCGTGGACCTTAGTCTTCTTTGTAATATCCTGGATTTGACAGTTATTTGTGTTTTTTCAGCTCTGTGCATAATGTTGTACTATATATTATGGGGAATACAAAGAAACATATGATTCTTTCCTTTGAGAGGTTTACAATCTAGTTGGAAAGTATTAAATACCTAACAAGGGTAGCATTTAGGATTCTACAGAATCGTTTAGTAACTTTTTCGGTTACTTTAAAAATAACAGTAAACTCACCAGTTTGAGAGGGATAGCAGAGACCTAAATGGTAATTAATGCCCACTCGTTCTTGAGGTCTCAGCTCAAGGGCCGCTTCCTCTGGAAATCCTTCCCTCCCACTGCACCAGACTCTGAGTTCCTCGCGAGCGTGGACAGTGTCTGTTTTTGCCCACCATTGTATCCCCCATGCCTTACACTGTACCTGCCATGTAGATCCTTAACAAATATGTGCTAAATTACCATATTTAGGTTTATCTTGGGCCATTGCCTTCTTTGTACCCCCTTAGCACACTCTTCATGCTCCACTGTATCCAGAGTTGGGGTTCTTGCCCCTGAGGTAGTCCCTTCCTTATTCTGGTAAACAGGAGCTTTATTTTGTTTCGTTAGGGTATTTCTTGTGGTTAATATTTAAGTATAGGAGACTTACTTATCTTTTCAATGGAATCCTGTATATTGTGGACAAATTTTAAACTGTCTTAAACTTTTCTCTACAGTGTTCATCAATGTTGACTGCTCTTCTTCCTTCAAAACCTTTCTATCTTGGTTTCAGCAACAGTGTATTGGCTCTGAGTTCTCCTTAACCCCTCTGGTCTTTTGAAAATTTTTATTTTAACAGAGATAATTTAATGGGAAGAGCTTTTAACCAGGTATAAATTTGTTAACTAGGTTTCTGAAAACAAACAAATAAAAGGACTCTCAAGTGTCAGAGAGGTAGCAAGTGCAGTACTACCCTAAAGCTGGGGAGCAAAGGTAAGAGGTTGGAATTACTAAAATTACTAAATTACATACTTCAAGGAGGGGCTGCGTGAAGCTGAAATAAAGACCTTAGAGTGGGGAGTACTGCTCATCTGGGGCTTGTGTCCTTGAGCTCAGAGGAAGAGTCTCATAGGTCAGGGACCCAGACACCTGGTCCTGGTGTCTCTGAGGGTGGCAGTGAAGCTTGTTGCAAAATGAATTCAGCTAATGCCATGGAAAGAATGGTTGCTGCTGGGTTGAAGAAGTGTTGCTGGAGTGATGCTCATAGGAACAGGAAGCCAGCAGGAGAAAGTCCCTTTTTCCTCCATCTTTGCAGCCAGCCTCTAGCATCTCCTATTGGCAGAGCCAGCTGGTAAAGCAGAAACGTGGCTTCAAGTCTCAGCCACAGCATCACAAAGCAAAGTGCAGAAGGCTTACCTTAGTAACTGGAACAATCAGAGAGCAAAAGGAAACCAGGTACTAAAGTATTTGTAGTATAAAATTACATGATTTTACAGCTGTTGAAATAATGACATCAGTATTAAATAAAAACAAGTCTTACATAGCAACCCAAACTAGAAAAGGCTTAAGGGAGAACTCATGCATGAGAAAATTAAGGGCAATTGAGCAAATTTATAACTGTATATAAATTACAAAAATGGAGAAATGGCACAAATATAAGCCTTCCACTAAGTTAGTAGTTGTAGATTGTAAAATTAGATTTAGAAATTTATTTTTATTAATAGACTTTTATTTTTTAGAGCAGTTTTAGGTTTACAGAAAAATTGGAAGTGCAGAATTCCTGTATATACCTGCCCTCCCGTAGTTTCCCTATTATTAGCATCTTGCATTACTGTGGTATGTTTGTTTCAATTAATGAACTAATATTGATATATTCTTAATAACTAAGGTCTGTGGTTTGCATTAGGGTTTACTGTTTGTGTTGTACGTTCTCTAGATTTTGACTCCCCCTTAACCCCTCTGGTCATTTTTAGTGGTCTTATCTGATGGTTTCTGTCTTGCGTTGTTTGAATGTAGGCATTCCCCAAGGAAATTTCCTCAGTGCTCTTCCTTGGTGTAACCTCTTTCATTTGCATATAGGTTTCTTATCAGTAAAATGGGAGGTTGAACTAGAAACTTCTGAGGTTCTAACTCCCAAATTCAGTGACTGGCTATGTCAGACTCATGATAGGTTTTTTTCAGACTCATCCGCTCTTTTCTCTGAGTTTCCTAAATATATATATATTTTTTTGCTGAGGAAGATTCACGTTGAGCTAATGTCTATTGCCAGTCTTCCTCTATTTTGTATGTGAGCTGCTGTCACAGCATGGCCACTGACAAGTGGTATAGGTCTGCGCCCAGGAACTGAACCCGGGCTGCTGAAGCAGAGCGTGCTAAACTTAACCACCAGGCCACCAGGGCTGGCTCTTCTGAATATTTTTAAAGCTATAAATGATCCTCTTGGTCATCCAGACTCAAAATCTTGATTTAACATCTGACTTCACCAAGGTGTACATCCATTGTGTTACTGAGTCCCGTTTTAGCCCCTTCAATGTCTGTGACATTCCTCTTACCACTCCCTCTGCCTCATCGCACATCTGGTTCCCTTTCTCATTGCGTCCCTGCAGCAAATGCTGCTGCTTGCCGAAGTCCCATGACTTTTGGAGAGAGACTTAGTGAAGCTGTGCTGGAAATGGCCCTTTGTGAGTAGGGATCTAGCTTGCTTGTTATTTCTGGCAGAAAAGAAACTAAGGACATAATTCAGAAAGACTTGTTCTATTAGTGCAAAAAGAGAATAATCGGTTATTTCTTCTTTCTTGTTGCACTATCATATTAAATGTTTTCTTAATGTGTGTTCCTTTTCAGCATAATGGGAGTTTTGAGTAACAAGTGTGGCTTTCAACTGCAGTATCAAATGATTTTTTCAATATGGCTCCTGGCATTCAGTCCTCAAATGTGTGAACACCTGCGGCGTTATAATATCATTCCTGTTCTGTCCGATATCCTTCAAGAATCTGTCAAAGAGAAAGTGACAAGAATCATTCTTGCAGCATTCCGTGTAAGTGTTTTGTGGTTTTTTTTTTTTGGTGTGTGTGTGTGTGTGAGGCATTTTCACTGTGGAGTATATTTGAGGGCTTTTTAGCAGGTGAGAAAAAGTTGCTTGTTCTCTATGTAGTTATGAAACTATGGAGTCATGGTCACCAGAGTCAAATATCACTAATTTGTATTTATGGCATGGGGGAGTGGGACTGGGGGGAGGAAACCATTTAAATGGATGAAATGGATGAGTCATAGAATGCTTAGAAGGAAATGTAATTGTTTTTCATTCAGTTAGAGGAAGTCCCTTTTTGTTGCAGTGTGTCTGAGAGACTGTTATTGAAGTTTTTATCTTATGAAGCCCTTATGTTAGTGTAGTATTGTATTTCAGACTCTGGATCTACTGACTGGCAGTATATTTCTGAGGCAGCTATAAAGATCTGTAATTATTTTGAATAGTAAAATTATTTTATTAGGATATTAGAATTCTGGTGATTATCTAAGTCACCTTCCACCCTTGAACAGATAAGAGAGTTGAAGACAACAGAAGAGGCGAGCTAGAATCTGAATCCTGGGTCTTCTGGCTGCCAGGCAGTTGTAACACAGACAGAAAGTGTCGTTAATTGGTTACCCAGGGCCAAGGTATTTGCTGTAACAATTGTCTGTTGATAATTTTGTTGGTCACCTTAGGATTTAAATGGGCTTTTGAGGGACAGCCTGGCTGCCCTAGTGTCTTTTAAGGATGCTGCCCAAGAGTAATAGTAGTGCATGTATCTCATATAGTTCTCACTCTGTGCCATGCATCTTTCTAAGGTTTTCCATTTGTTAACTAATTGATGCTCACCATAGCCCTATGGCAGTTGTTGTTATTGTTAGTATATTGGTATCTTGAGTATTGGTATTGGTCTTCTCCTCATTTTACAAACAGGGAGACTGAGACAGAGAGGGTACATTGCTGGTAGGTGGTAGACATGCAGATCTGTTATTGGCTTCAGAATCTGCTTTTAACCATTATTTGTTCTTACGCTTTCTTTAAATAAACAACAAATCAAAAATAAAAAGTAGTACAGATGTATTGCAAAAATTTAAATAGCATAGACATCACATTTGCCAAATATAGTTACTAACATCTTTCGAATTTTTCTAAGCCTTTAGAGATAAATGTATAAATAGGTGTGTAATTTTGTTTTGTATTTAGAAATAAAAATGGCATCATATTATAAATACTGTTTTATAATTTTATTTGTAACAATATGTAATGAATATGTTTTCATTTTCATATCTGTAGGTCTTCAGTATTCTTTTTAATGGTTATATTCTGTGGTCTTGATGTGGTTTGTTTAACCAGTGTCCTATTGATGGGCATGTGAGGTGTTTCCAATTTCGTTTACATGTGTTTGCTCACTTCAGTGAATATTTCTCTTGGGTATAGTTCTAGATATGGAATTGCTGAGTCAAAGAATATACTGTTTTGCATTTTTTTTTTTTGAGGAAGATCAGCCCTGAGCTAATATCCATGCCAATCCTCCTCTTTTTGCTGAGGAAGACTGGCCCTGAGCTAACATCCATACCTATCTTCCTCCATGTTATGTGGGACGCCGCCACAGCATGGCCTGACAAGCGGTGCGTTGGTTTGCGCCTGGGATCCGAACCCCAGGCCACCAGCAGCGGAGTGCGTGCACTTAACCACTACGCCACGGGGCCGGCCCCTGTTCTGCAGTTTTGATAGATAATATCAAATCACCTTTCAAAAATGTGCAAATTTACATTTCCATCAACAATGTATTGGGAGTGCATGTTTTTCCATTCTTTCACTTCCATTTAATATCTTTTAATTGTTACAAAAAATGAGGTGAAAAATGAAATTGTTTTAGATTTGTGTTCTGTTACTAATGAATGAAACTGAGCATCTTTTAATATTTTTATCAGCCATTTATATTTCTCCTATAAATTGCTTATTCATAGCACTTGTCACCTTTTAAACTTTTAAATTTGATATGTAGAAACTCTTTTCTAGGTGTTTGTAGTTAATAATAATAACTAATGTTTATTAAGAGCTTATTCTGTGTCAGGCACTGTTCTAATTGCTTTCAATGTGTTACCCATTTGATCTCCCAAGAACTCCATGTGGTGGGCGTTAGGCCACAAGAGGTTAAGTAAGTAATTTGCCAAAATACTTAGGCAGCGGCAGAGCAGGAATTCAGACTCAGGCACGTCTTAATCATCGTGCTAACCTGTCTTTGATACTGAGAATAATAAATGTTATAATTGATTGATTTTCATGCGTTGTCTTATTTAATCTTCATGATGATCCAGTAGTTTCTATTATTATTTTTATTTTATAGATATGAAAATGAAGACTTCGGGATTTATTCCTTAGTTACTAAGTGATAGGATTGGAATTTTGGTGAAATCTGTTTGGCTCCAAAGCCATCCTGTGGCTCCAAAGCCATCCTCTTAACCATTCTGCCATCTCCTTTTTCCTTTTTCTCTGTGCATTTTCTCAGGAACCTTAAGAGTAGCATTAAAAGGAGGGGAAACCGTGAGAAGGAGAGCTGTAGGTCGTGTGAGAGAAGAATTCCGATTCCTTTGCTGAAGCTATCAGCTGAAAGCATTAAACTCCTTTTTTTTTTTTCTTTGTGAGGAAGATTAGCCCTGAGCTAACATCCAATGCCAGTCCTCATCTTTTTGCTGAGGAAGATCGGCCCTGGGTTAACATCCATGCCCATCTTCCTCTACTTTATATGGGACGCCGCCACAGCATGGCTTCACAAGCGGTGCGTCAGTGCACACCCAGGATCGGAACCTGCGAATCCTGGGCCGCTGCAGCAGACGGAGAACACTTAACTGCTACACCACCAGGCCAGCCCCTAAACTCCATTTTTTTTCTAGCTGCCTGATGAGTGGAATGAAAGATTAAAATCATTGAGAAGTGAGGTTCAGAGTAAATTCTGTTGAAAGAGTGGAAAGTGAAATGAAAGTGTGAGTTGCTAGATATGATAAATGCCAGTCAGCTGTTGACCAAGTGTTGCTATGCATTAGATTTGCTTATTCTTATTTATAAAAAGTAACATTCTTTTTCATGTAAAAATTGTTGTATGGCCCTTGAGAAGTTTACTCATAAGAAATAGGTAAATGTGGTACCTCCCTATTTCTCTGCCTCACCATATTGTCTCTGCCCTTAGTTTTTCTAGCAAACTGTGGACATGAGTTGTCATAGTAAATTTCAGTCTAGTCCAGATAAAATAATAATCAATTTTTAAATTGGAGTAGCAGATTTAGCAGAGTAGTTGTATTAATGAGATTCTACTCTGAAGTATTTTTGTAGCTAAGCTGAATATATTTTTTCTTCTACTTATTTCATTATCTGTATTCTTATTTATTTAGTAAAGATGAAAAATTCTAGAAATAGGATCTTTTAACAGTCTCCTTCTGTTGCTAGAGCACAATTTAATTCACAAACCAGTTTTGAGTCCCTTTTATATTCCAGGCATTATGCTAATCATAGGGAACACCAGTGCCTAAGATATAGCTTGATATTGAAGGGCTTGTAGTTCAGTGAAGACAGAATATGTGAATAAATAATGTCAGTGTGATGCAATAAGTAATGTGCAAGAGTAAAAGTAATATAAAGGAGGCGGAGGGTAAGAATAGGGGGTTCTAGGAAAAGCTTCAGAGAGGAGAAGGCTTTCAAGAGGTTTTTGAAGGATGCATAGAAGTGTTTTAGAAGTACAAAGGTGGAGAGAGGTTGATAAATGTTAACAAGTGAAGAAAGGACCTTCTTGGAATTGTCATTAATTTGTTCTTGTAGGATTAATTATTGCCCCCCTACCCTGAGTGAATGTTAAGGGAATAAATGGAGCATGTAAATCTGGCTCTTGAAGATACAATACTGGTATTTGTGGCCATTTGCTTTCTGAAGGAACAGACTTGCTCTGTAAAATGGGGCTTTTGCTTTGCTGATCATTATTACCACTCTGGACGTTGAACTAGTGGGGCCAACACAAATCTTTCAGCCATCTTGTTACTGACTCACCCTAACTTCTGTTCGTACTCATGGACATCACCCACCAAAGCCCAGTGCCTTCCAACAAGACTCTGTCAGATCTACTTTTGCTACTTTATTGTGTACTGTGCCTACTCTGATGGAGCATGAGTACGAGCTGATTCCTCTTTAAATTTTATTCACTATGGTTGAATATGTATTACATCTTTTCGATATTTTTATTTTCTGAAGGGTTAAAGCTCCTATTCTGTTTGTCTTTGTCTTGAGTTTCTTTCTTGTCTTTCCGCCTTTCTGTTCTACTATAATCACAGGAGCCTTTATTTTATTAAATTCTTCTATTCAAAATTAAGTACCTATCATTTAAGAAAATGGAAATAGTTTGATCTTTTTCTTATTTATGAAAATAATATGGTCTTATGGTTAAAAAATAAGATAGAAAAATATTAAGAAAAAAGTATAAATTAAACGTAGGCTCACTTCTAGATATGGAAGCCTGTTGATATTTTAATACCTGTAATTTATAATCTTTGTTCCCTTCCTACATGGGGTGTCAACTCTGGATGAATTACAGTGGGCACTGAAAAGCTGAATAGTTAGAGGGAGTCTCTGAATTCTCGTCTCTTCACAATTTTGTCAGATCATGCCTGGCATCAGTTACTACAAAGAGCGTCTGCCCACAGGTTGGTAGTGTGTGTGCCCGGCAGGCACGGAGGAAGTCACGTTCGCTCTCCTCTTGGGCTGGCCTCTGTGCCTTTGGGAAGTTGCTTAGCTTCTCCATGCTTCAACTTTGTTCGTGTGTCTGATGAGAGTAATATCATCTGTTTTTTAAGTTTGTCATTGGACTTCATATATGCTCATATGATAATGCCTTTTGAGACAATAAATGTGGGCTAAATGAATACTTGGCGCATAGTAGGCCCTCAGTATTTGTGACTGTGTGAGGGACTGAACAAAAACACTGAAATAAAAGTAGAAAAACCTTCTATGACAGTAGGGTAGTGGTATTGAATTTACTG